TCTGTGTCTGTGTCTGTGTCTGTGTCTGTGTGTCCGGCCGCACCTCTGCCCACATCGACCGCTGCCCTGCCTCGTGCCTGGCCGTACGTGTGTGTGTGTCTGTGTCTGTGTCTGTGTGTCCGGCCGCACCTCTGCCCACATCGACCGCTGCCCTGCCTGGCCGAGGCCATCGGCCGGGCGGCGGAGGCGTGCGTCGCGCCGCGGCTGCGAGAGCAGGTGCGCGTCAAGATGGAGACTTTCCAGTGCGACGTCGTGCAGGTCTGCCCGAGCCCGGACGACGAGCTTGCCTTTGCCGCCTACGCGATCACGCTGCACGACCACTTCATCGGCGGGCGCGGCTCCGCCCACCTCGCGGGCGCCAAGCAATGCAACATCTCGAGCGTGCGGGCGGAGCGAGTGAGGTACCTCGCTCGGCCAGACTGGGAGCGCACGGCCGCGCTGTACACCAACTTTGCGCAGGCGGCGGCCATCGGCGTGCAGCACTGGGATCTGACGGCGCTCTGCGCTTGCATCGAGAACTGCGCTGCCTTCAAGTGCTGCCCCGGGTGCACCGCCCGCCCTCACACGTGCGAGGAGAGCTGCGTGCGGCTGCTCAACGCAGACTTGCGCGACGTGCGCAACGGCGTCGCCCACAAGAACACCATCGACACGGACTACCACGCCGCCATGGACGTGATCGAGGAGACGCTGGTGAAGTTGGGCGTGGCGGAGGTCGAGGCGAAGGCGACGCTCGAGCCGTACCGCGACGGCATGAACCGCGACATGCCCGCCAGCGACTCGCTCGAGGAGGCGGACCAGTACGACAAGCAGCAGCGCGCTGGCGTCGCCAAGCTGCTGACTGCTTCGCAGATGGCTGGCTTCCGCGACCTCCGCCGTGCTCCCGCCGCCGGCCAGCGGGTGCGGCGGCTGCTCGAGGCGCCTGCCGGCTCGGGCAAGACGCTCGTCGCCGTCAAGCTCGTGGCGGAGCACCTCTGCGCTGTGGACGCCGCCGGGCAAGGCGACGCGGCGCTCCTGCTCGTGCACTCGCGCTCGCTGCAGCGGCACGTCCTGAGGGAGCTGTGCGCCGAGCTGCTTGGCGAGCTCGGCCGCGAGGCTGGCCTCGAGTGAGTGCGGGAGGGGGTGGCGCGGCTGGAGCTGCGGCGCGGCGCAGTGGCGATCGTCGCGTCCGTCGACGACCTGAGCGGCGAGCTGGTTGGCGGTGCTGCGCAGACCAAGGAGGAGGTGGCGGCGGCCGTTGGGGCGTACACGGGTGCAATCGCGCTCGGCTCGGTCGGCTTGGCCGTGGTGGACGAGGGGCACCACGTTTTTGGCCGCCAGCCCGACGCGCGGCTGGTCGGGCTGCCGGGGCAGCGCCGCTTCGAGCACCCGGCTCGCGTGCGGGAGGTGCTCGAGGCGATGCTGTGCGCGCGCCACAAGCTGCTCATCTTTCACGACCACTCGTACCAGCGCGACGGCGCTCGCCCGCTCTACCCAGTGGGCATCGACTACGAGCAGATGCAGCGGGACAAGAAGTTCCTCACGACGGTGGTGCGGCTGCCGGCGGCGGCGCGGGACGTTGCGATGCCCTTCTGCCGCGAGCGCGTCGCCGTCGCGTCGAGTGACGGCCGAGTCGACTTCTACCCGCTGCTGGACGAGCGGACGCACGGCGAGTCCGTGCATGTCGACGTGCCGTACCGTGGGGTGCTGTTAGACCCGCATCGCAGCGATTACCTGTCGACCGTCGAGGAGCAGGGCTCGCTGGCGCAGGAGAGCGCGGCGCACGAGGCAGCCTACGCCGAGGCGCTCGCAGCGCAGCTGGAGTCGCTATCCGCAGAGATCGGGACGGGCGGCTGGGGGAAGGTGGCGGTGCTTGTCACCAGCACCGTCCCCTCGCCTGCATGGCTTTCGGGTCAAGCTCAAGGCCAGAGTGAAGGTCAGAGTGAAGAGTGAAGTATGGGGTCAGGGCTAGAGGGCTAGGGGCGAGGGAAGTCTAGGTGCGCCTGGTGCCGCACGCCCGTGCGCGCCGTGGCGAGGGTGTACGCCCACACTGCACACGGGGCTATTTCTGCTTTTCTGGGCCGACACCCAATCTTCCCGTCCCGACCCCTACAGTTCTCAGTTGGCATTGGCACCAAGCCCCAAGCGCATGGTCGAAGGGCGCAGCCTCGCCGATGGGAGCGCCGCGGAGTCAAGGATGCGGCTGGACGGCCATCGTTCAGAAGTGAAAAGAACTTAGAGCAGTGATGAAGAGTCACTGAGTCAACAACTTAGCTAGCGCAGCCTCCATCCTCGTCCCCAACACGGTGACTATCAAGAGAGAGTCTATCAGACTATCTGCCTTTCCTCCCAACGATGCCGCCGAGCGGAGGACGCAGGAACCTAAAGTGCGACACGTCTGGCAGCGTCGCGCTCGGCAGTGCGCCAGCGGTAATCGCATGGTCCGCATGCCACAGCTCGCCGTCAATAGCGCTTACATGCGCTCCTTGTACAATGCGATCGCGTGCATGAGCTCGTCGTGGTCGAGGTCCTCGTAGTCGCCATCCCCCTCGTGGTACACCTTGTAAAGCGTGGTGTCGTCATCTGCCGACGGAGGCAGCCACGCCATCACCACCCCGAGGTAGAAGTTGCTCTCGTGCTTGATGAGCACTTTCGCGTACTCGCTGCCGTTGCGTAGCCACTTCTCCTTGGGCTCCGACACGAGCGTGTGGTTGTAGGGCGGCAAGCCGATCTTCTCCCATTGGTAGACGCCGTCCGCCTCGTACACCACGCCAGCGAGGTACTTGTCGCCGCACTTGCGGATCATGTCCACTTCGCACATGTATGTCTCGTCGACCCACGTGCTCTTGAGCGTTGCGCCGATGAGACCGGCCGGATCGGACTGGAAGCGCTGGGCAAGCGTGCGCTCAGGGCCATTCGCCGGCAGCCCCACTTCCGAGGTCTCACGGGCAGGGACGCCCTCTTCCATGGCAGCATCGAACTGCAATGCCGACTCGGAGCTGATGGTTGCGCCCGCGCCCGGTCGCGAGGCAAGTGAGGAAGCTAGCGAAGCCACAGCCACGGACGCGGGCGACTCGGCTGGCTCCGGGCTGGAGTGACGCGTGCGCCGCGCGCGGTGCTGCACCCCATCGTGCATTGGGTCATTCTCCCAGTTTCCGTCTTCGTCCCGCGGCCGGGTTTGCTTGTTGGCTGGCGGCGTCTTGCGCGTGAGGGTCTGGCGCACGCGGCCCTCGAGCACCTCGTTGGGCGACGAAAACGCAAACTGCTGGTGTATCTTCTGGAACACGGTGTCCGCCACCTCACTCAGGTAGATCAGAATTCTCACCGTGCTCTGTGAGCGCATCTTGCGCAGCACCGCATGAGGCGGCCAGCTTGTCGCGATATGCAAACGCGCTGATGGACAGCCCGATGGCCCCAACAGCGAGGCAAGCCGCATTGAAGGCGCTCGTCCGCCGACCCACGGCCGGCGGCACCTCAGCCATAGTGTCGGCGGACAGCCGGCAGCAGAGAAACCGCAGTGAGCGGACCGCCACTACTGTAAGGGGAACAACTAGGTGTCCAACAAAGGGGGAACAACTCGCACCGAGACAGGACACCGAGGGCAAAAGAAAACCCACAGGGCTAACACAAGCAGTCTCGGACGCAAGTATCAGCACAAGAATCAGAATGTATTAAAAGCACCTAAAGGAGCAAGGCATACCGGTGTGAACAAGTCTCCACCGACACCCCCTCGTGCATTGGCCTTGTGGTGCTTATCCGACGTCTTGGAGTAGCAGACCTGGCCGCAGGAAATTGCACGTGCCCCATATCTCCTTGTCGCTTGGATGCCACTGGCAGGCGGAGAAGGCCTGTGGTTACGGTCTGTAGGCTCCTCAGAGGCGGAGCAAGCCTCAGCATGTTACATGAAGCGCCCGTGCCAAAGGAACGCAACGAAGGGAGTGAGGAGCACGCCCAACCCTTGTCTCTTGTGGCAATGCTAAAAACCCAAAATTTAAGAACGGCTCAAAGTCGGTAGACACTTCGAGAGGGGCATGCAGCGCGGAGGTCCCGACGGACACGCTATCGGGTTTTTCACAGGAGCGACCCGGTTTGCGCTCTCTGCTCTCTGGACTCTGCAACAGGCTTGGCAACACACGAGCACGATCAAAACATATTACCTTCCACGATCGACGCACACGACAACTACTCTCGCATGCTCTCGAGCGCGGCGGCGGGGCGGTGATACAAGTGATAGCCCCGCCCCCTCGCCCAACCCAGGTTGGCTGCGCGGAGCACACATGAATCCCACACGCCATACCGCGAGAGCGACCCAACTCGTCGACATCGTCCGATGATGGTGCCGCAAAGTCAGCCTTCGGAGGCTATCGTGGGGTCGAGCCGTCAGTAGCCGTGACATGTGGTTCCACCACCCCTCGTGGCTTTGCCTCTGACCGCCACCGTTCCCAGGCTACCTTATGGGATGGAAAGGAAGGCTGGGCGAGCGTATAGAAGCGTGCTCGACCTCGTCGTGGCAACCTGCACGGCAGCGCTGGCAGGCGCGATGAGCGTCGCGCCACCTGACCCGAGACGGGTCGCAGGCGTCGTACCGAGCGCGTGGTCGTCCTTGAGCTAGGAATCTACCAAAGTGAATTCCCATGAAATCCCCAGAGGAATATACCCCAGAGGAATATACCAAAGGAAATACCAAAGAGGAATATGAGAGAGAGAGAGAGAGAGAGAGAGAGAGAGAGAGAGAGAGAGAGAGAGAGAGAGAGAGAGAGAGAGAGAGAGAGAGAGAGAGAGAGAGAGAGAGAGAAAGAGATTTGTTTTCTTTGGAATATACCAAAGAGGAAAATACCATAGTGGATTACACCAAAGAGGAATACACCGAGGTGAATTCCCGAGAGAAATATACCAAAGAGGAATAACCAACTGCAACAAAAGGGGGGTCCCCCCCCCCCCCTCCGGGGGGGGGGTATGCCGGACTTTCGGCAGCACCGGCCGCAACGCGTCACGCGCGCCGCGTCACGTGCGGCCGCGGCCGCGCTCCTCGCCGACTCTCCCGGCGAGGTCGTCGCGCATATCCTCAAGCACTGCAAGCTGCGCGACTTTGGCGCCCTCACTTGCACGGCGGGGTGGCTGCACCCGCTGCTGGAGCTCGCGCTCCGGCTGCGCGCTGGGGAGAATGGACACGCACTCCCCCAAAAGCTCCAGCTCGACGACGACTCGTGTCACCGCCGCGTGCAGGCGATGCTTTCGCTCGAGTGGCGGCGGACGCAGATTGGGCGGCGTACGATTGCGGCGGGAATGTCGCACTCGCTCTTCATATCGCCCGAGGGCACGCTGCTGTCGTGCGGAACGGAGTGGGACGTGGACGGTAACCCGACGCCTGGCCTCCTCGGCCACGGCACGCGCAGCCCACCCGCCACCCAACACCGCACTCCGTCTCCCCTCTCTCTCCCTCCCTTTCTCTTCTCTCTCCCCCTGGGCCCCGCCTGCCCCGCCGCCGCCCGCGCAGGCATCGACCCGCGCGGCGGCTTGTCCCTCTTCCCCGCCACCCGCACTGTGCACGGCGCCGCAGGAGAGCTCGCCGTTGAGGAGCTGCCAGCAAACTCGATCCACGTGAGGGCCGCCCTGCCCTCATACAATTACACATCACAAATAGCGCGCCGCTGCGCAAATCTCTAGCAGGCGTCCCGACCCTCCCCCCGCCTGTCCTGCTCCCCTCGCCGTCCGCCTCTCCTCGCCCGGGGAGCGAGCTCTGCGCACCCGCCTCGCGGCTGTCGGGGTCTTGTCCGGGCGCTCCCGGAAGCTTCTTGGAACCATCCCGGAGCCTTCCCTGACCTTCCCCGATCCTTCGGAGCCTTCCTCGGAGCCTTCCTGTGCCGGATAGGTTCCGACCCCCATCCCTGGGCTCGCCAACGTGCGCATCCGCTCCGTGGCGGCGGGCGTCTCCCTGTCGCTCGCAGTCACCTTCGATGGCGAGGTGTACTTGGGGGGGGGGGGGGGCAGGGAAACGAGGCCAGGCTCGGCCACTGTCCATGACACGTTCTTGACATGCCACAGGTGTACTCGTGGGGCCAGGGAACCATGGGCCAACTCGGCCACGGCACTGCGAGTCCAACTCCTCCCTTTCCCGGATTTCTTTTCGTTCAAGTCCGTTGCTTCCTTGTTTAGGCACTTGGACGAGCTCGCAGTCCACGCCACGCCAGATCACCGCCCTCGCTTCGGAGCGAGTCGTCGCCGTCGAGGCTGGTTTCATCCACGCCCTAGCCCTCGCAGGCACGGCCTCTCCCTCTCCCTCCCTCTCCCTCTCCCTCCCCTGCCGCCGCCTCTCTCCTCCCCGCTGCGTCCCGCCACATCTCTCCGCGCTCCTGCCTCCCTCCACGCTCCTGCCTCCCTCCTCCCTGCCGTCTCTCTCCTCCCTCCCGCCTCCCTCCTCGCCGCTGCCTCTCTCGCCGCCCCTCTCGACACACCCGCGCACCGACGCCCCTCGCCTCACCGTGGCCCCTCGCCCTCGCAGAGAGCGGCGCCGTCTACGCTTGGGGAGCGGGCGCGGACGGCCGGCTAGGCCACGGCAACGACGAGCACTTCTCGATGCCGCGCCGCATCGAGGCGTTCGCCGTGAGGCACGAGATCGTGATCTCGACATGTAACTCGGCTCATCTCGAGCATGCTGCTCCCCAGGCGCTCGCAGGGCGACATGTGCACGCGGTCGCGGCGGGGCGCGCGCCGCCCCGTGCTCCCCCTCGCCGTGCCTTTGGTTGACGCAACCGCCGCACACACCCCAGGTCCACATCGCACGACATGACAGTCGAGAAAAGACACAGAGAGAGTGGCGGTCAGACAGGCAGCTCTTGGCTCACAGCGTGGGTGGTTGTGTCGCAGGTACGAGTCGTCGCTCGCCCTCACCTCCGAAGGAGTCGTTTTCTCGTGGGGCAGAGGCCCGCGCTCGGCCGGCACGGCGCATCGGTCGACTCAATCAAGACGTCATCTTTAGTGGCTGTGTATGGCTATGTATTAGGCGCGCTCGGCCAGCTCGGTCACGGAGGGAACCCTCAGCCGCGTTCGGAGCCGCTGCCGCGCGTCATCGACGCTTTGCGAGGCCGCTGTCCCCCCTTTCCCCCCGCCCCCCCCCCCCCCCCCTCCCGCCCACCCGCCCCACCTGCCCCACCCCACCCATCACCCTGCCCCACCCCACACCCACCCACCACCATCACCACTACCCACCACCCTACCCCACCCCACCCACGCCCACCACCACCACTTCCCACGACCGTCCCTCCCGTGCTCACCGAACCGCAGGCACCCCCATCGCCTCGGTCACCGCCGGCAATAAGCCCCTTTGCCCTCAGCGCAGCGGGAACCTTCTCTGAACCTTTGCTGAACCTTTCCTGTACTGTAGGCAACAAGCGCTCTCTCGCCCTCAGCCGCAGCGGCGGCGTCTACTCCTGGGGCGACGGGGCGGATGGCCAGCTCGGCCACGGCGACGAGACGCACACGGACGCCCCGAAGCTGGCGCGAGAGGACCCGAGCGAGACCCGAGAGGACCTCAGAGCACCTCAGAGGACCCAAGAGGACCCGCCCGTGAGGACTCGAAATTGCCCGATATCACCCGAGATCACCCTAGATCACCCGAGATCACCCGAGATCGTAGGGATTCCTAGGTGGGCGCTCTCGCGAGGCTCGACGTTGCAATGGTGGTTGCCGGCGCCTCGCACTCGTTTGCCCTCACTGCAGACGGCGCGCCGCTGCCTCGTGCTCCCGATGCCTCCCCCAATGCCCGATGCATCCCAATGTCTCCCAATGCCAAATGCCTCCCAACGCCCAATGGCTTCCAATCCTCATGGCTACCAATCCCGTAAGGCTCCCCATCGGGGGGGCAAGCAAACCCCCCCCCCCCCCCCGACTCAGGCGCGCTCTACTCTTGGGGCGCGGGGCAGTGCGGCCGCCTCGGGCACGGGGACGAGTCCAAGCAGCTGCTGCCGACGCGCGTGGACGCCCTCTCGTCCGTCAAGGCGCGAGAGATCGCCCGAGATCGCCCGAGATCGCCCAAGATCGCCGAGATCACCCGATAGGACCCGAGAGGAATAGAGACCACCCAGGAGGACTCGAAATCACCTGAGATCACCCGAGAGGGCCCGAGAGGGCCCAGAGAGGGCCCAGAGAGGGCCCAGAGAGGGCCCAGAGAGGGCCCGAGAGGACACGAGAGGACACGAGAGGACACGAGAGGACACGAGAGGACCCGAGAGGACCGGAGAGGACCCGAGATGGCCCGGGGCGCGCATTTCCCCCCGTGGCCGAGGCGTCGGGTGGCCGTCCGGTCCTCATGACGGAGGGTTGCCTCTCATGACCGAGGGTTCCCCGCGAGAGGGTGGCGCTGTGACACGGCGCATAGGACGCGGCGGCGCTCTTCTCCCCGCGACACCCTCCGCACACCCCTTTCTGCTGGCCACTGCCGGTGACGCTTCGTGTGCTGCCTGCCCGCCAGGTGGTGTCGGTTTCGGGCGGCGCGTTTCACTCCGTCGCAGCGGACGAGCGAGGCGACGTCTACGGATGGGGCGAAGGCGACGGCGCTTCGCTCGGGCTGCAGCTGACGCAGGACCAGCTCAAGCCGCGCCAATACCCCAACTGGCTCAAAGCGGCGCTCTGATCGCGACATGTGTCAGCTTAGATGCGGCAACCAAAGGCGCCCCTCGAGCACCTCTGGGTGGGCTCCGGCCCACCTTGCGCAGTAGCGGGTGGGCGCCGAGTGGACGGCAAAATTGCCTCGCGTGAGCGTGCAGCCCGCGGGCTCCCAGGTCACCCTTCAACGCTAGTGTTTCTTGCGCCGCGACTGCAGGCTCTGCGGGTCGGGATGGGCGGGATTCGCGGCGCGTTGCCGCGGTCATCGTCCAGGTCATGCAAAACGGGCCCTGAGTGTGAGCGAAACGTGTACACCGGCACATTGTCGGCCGATGCGCGGCTCGCCGCCCACCCCACGCGGTCCCTAGGTGTTATATAGCATAAACACCATCCGTGCAGGGCTCCTAGGCCATCAGTGGGTCCACAGTGGACGGGCACACAGCCTCAGCCGGCCCGGCGGGCTCCCGACCAGAGCCCGTCCGGAGGCTACAAACGGACACTCTACCGACCTCCACACCCCTAGACAACCCACCCCGACTAGCACACGGTGTCGGCCCGACCGCCCTGCGGCCCCAGCTACCAGCTGGCGCCGCTCGGCCCGGCTGGAGGCGCCTGGGGCGCCCAAAATCGCGGAGCCGGCGACGTCCTCCGGCCAGCAGCCGGATCGGGCGTCCGACCCGCCCCCTCGGCGACCCTAGATGGTCTCCCCGACCCCCGAGGCTTGGCGCACCGCGGGAGGGGGGCGGCCCAGCCACCCTGCACCGCCCAGGTCGCCCTCTGCGAGCCCAGGCACGCCGTCGAGAGTGCCGACGCGATGTCGACGATTTTGGCCTGCGAGACGGGGGCGAGGAGCAGTGTGATCAGTCTGCGAATAAAATGGCTCCTTTGCTGCTTTGGCGTCTGGGTGTGGGTCGGGCACGGGGCAGGTGGCCGCCATTCTGTTTGGTTTTTGCCTCTTTGTGTCCCTCTCAGCTCACAGCCATCACCCTCCCGCCTCCACTGGCGCGCGCTGCTCCTTCCTCCGAGGGTGCCGAGGGTGCCTCGGCGCAGTCCTGATGGCTGCCGCCACCTCCGCCCTCAGGAAAGGGGCACGACCGCTGCACGATGCCTAAGAGGGCGAAGCTAGGGTGGGTCGGGAAGGCGCGAGTGCCCCATTCCTAGTTTGCAATTTCGAGAGGTGTCGGCTGTCGCGATCTCTCAAGCGACGGCGGTTGAAGCCACCGGGCGGGAGGCGGGCATGGTCCACCAGCGGCATGGCTGCGAGCACGCTGGCCGGCTCCACGGCACTGTGACCGCGCTGAAGCGGCCCTCGGCAAGGCCCATGAGGCCGCCGGAGCGCCTAAAAGCGTAAGTGGGTGCGTATATAACGGGAAGGACAGTGCTCCCGAGCCGGCTAGGGCGTTGGAGCACCTATGGAATGGGGAGGATCCCGCATTTTCCCTGACCTTTACTCGAACCCGCCGCCACCCGTGCCTCGCTCCAAACCACGCCGGAGCAGCTCTGGTCGTGCTCGGGACGGGGGGAGGAAAGTTCGGGGCACAAGAGCGTCGAGTAAAGGTCAGGGAAAAATGCGGGATCGGTCCCATTACCCGTGGCCCGGGATCCGGCGGCGAAAGTTTGGCCCCGTTCGGCCACATGGGCGTTAGCGGCTGTGGTTTCGGCCTGCACCCTCTCACGGCTCCGAGAGGGGCCCGAGAGGCCGGAGACAGGTCCACCTTGGCGCTCGCGTCGAGCTGCGAGGCCGGATCCGAGGCCGCCAGGCCGTTGGTAGCACCAGATGGAAGGCCCGCGCAGCCGATTTTTATACGCGAAAAGTACCCGACGGACTCACGAGGGCACACACTCGGCGGTCTCGCGACAGAGACGGCTCACGGGGAGGAAAGAACAGAAGCTAAGGATGGGCACGCGGGTAGGGGTGCCGTCTTCGAGTCTGGCGGCTCGCCCGGGACGAACGCTCGAGCCTCCGCCCCTCGGACGGGCTCCGGAGAGCGCGCGTACCACCGCGTCGGCGGGCGGTGGAGCGGGCGGGAGCGGCAGGACCGACGGCGGCGACGCGGGAGACCGGTGCGGTCGCAGCGCTGCAGAGCTGCAGCACCACGACCGCATCGACTGAGCGCATCGGCATGCGAAAGAGGAGGGTGTGCGGGTGCATGCCCGGGCCGTGAGGGCTGGCCGAAGCGCCGCGTCGGGCGGCCGCCAGCATGCGACTTTGAGAGAAGAGGCCGGCTTCACACCTCTCAAGAAGCACCTTAATGTCTCGCAGCAACTCAGGCTGTGGCTGTGCGATGAACACACACGCACGCACGAGGGAACCGCATGCACAGTACATTCTCGCCACCAAGACCGCGTGGCAGGCACGCGCAGTTGCTGGCCTAGAGGCGCGCTCGCGGCATGCCCTGGGTGTCAGCGCTTCGCCTCGGAGCCGCGTGACTGTTCGCGAGTCCGGCTCCGGCCTTCCGTGCCACGGCAGCGACGGCGCGCTCCTTCCAGCCGCGACGGCGGAGCGCTGCGAGGCGGGTGGCGCTGCGGCGGCGGCTGATGTTCGCTGCTGCCGCGCAGAGCTGTCGTGCCGCCGAGAGTTGGCACGACAGCTCGAAGGCGGCGTCGGCGACCGCCGCGCTGGCTCTCTCCTCAGCAGACGCCGCGTCGCGTCTCGGCGGCGGCAGCTGCTTCGCCGCGAGAATGTGGCGAGGAGACGTACGCGCCTCCGCTGTACGTCTCCTCTGCGGCAGCAGCATTGAGCGAACGCGGTGGCTGAGCTGGGCGGAGTCGACATATATATATATATATCAGGTGCGGCGGAAAGAAACCGCGTCGCAGGCACGTGACGGTCAGAATCGCAAAGCCCACGAGGGGCAGCGAAAGAAAACAAAAACAATCACAAATGCAAAGCTCACCACCGCGCGCCACCGAGCTACAGCGATGCCGTCATGCGTTGACGGCTTGTATGACGCGCGTCGCCACCGTCTTCGAGTCTGGCGGCTCGCCCGGGACCAACGCTCGAGCCTCCGCCCCTCGGACGGGATCCGAAGAGCGCGCGTACCACCGCGTCGGCGGGCGGCGGAGCTGGCGGGAGCGGCAGGACCGACGGCGGCGACGCGGGAGACCGGTGCGGTCGCAGCGCTGCAGAGTTGCAGCACCACGACCGCATCGACTGAGCGCATCGGCATGCGCGAGAGGAGGGTGTGCGGGTGCATGCCCGGGCCGTGAGGGCTGGCTGAAGCGCCGCGTCGGGCGGCCGCCAGCATGCGACTTTGAGAGAAGCGGCCTCGTTCACAACTCTCAAGAACCACCTTAAGGTGGTTCTTGAGATCTGTCGCCGGACTCTGCCGCGGAGATGGCCATCACGCTCGCACCTGCCGACCGCCGCCACGGCGGCGAGACGCCTCTTCCGCCACCACGGCGCCGGCCACAGGCCAGCGCTAGGCAGCTGCCGGCCACGCCGGGTCGGAATTGCCGGTACCCGTCGCCGCACACTCCTGTGTCCACGCCGCTGTGACGTCTGGCGACAAGGCGCCGGCCGCCAAGCTTCATCGCCAACGTGGTCGCTCGCTGGTCCTCTCGGCTCGGCCACGCGTCGGACTAGCTCGCACGAGCTCCAGACAGCCACCGGTCGCCACGTGCAAAGTGTACGGGTCGCCGGCTCCCCGTTTTGCTCTCACGCTGGCCAGCGTAAAACTGTGCTGGCAGTTGTCAAGCCGTACCCGTCGCGTTTCGAAAAAGAGCCCTCGATCGACCCCTCTACACACACCGCACCACCGCTCTCCACAACTGCTACCGTGGACATCAAGCTCCTCGACTCGATCTGCGGCTACGACGGCGCTCTAGCTGCTGGCTCTCGCGGGTGTCTGGCGACCCGCTCTGGCTTGCAAAACGGGCCGGCCGCGGCGACGTG